GTTCTACTATCATAAGGACACTACACCTATTCTATGTTAGTGGTTGTGTGTTGTCAAAAATAATGCCAACTCATAGGACACATAGTATAGAATTAACAAATTTGAGATGCATGATCGAATCTAAGGGACACCTAGAATGGAACCAAAAGAAGAAGAAGAAAAAATAAATAAAAAATTAATTCACAGTGTGCGGGGTGGGGGGTGTTGAGTCACAAAAATATCATCTTTTATTCCCTCATTTCTTAGTATTTTTAAGACATATTATATGCATTTTATACCTAAATGATCATATTTAGCATTTTAGGCTTTTATTTACATTTTATACATAAAATGCATAATTTTAAGCATATTTGTATTCTACAATTGTTTTGGAGTATTGTTTTCCTTGAATAATATTTTTTAGATATATTTTGAAATACAAAGAAAAGTAAAGGAATACTACAAGATTGGATTGTTGAAGTTAAATGGAAAAAAAGGAGATTGAGTTGGGCCAACACCATTACCCATTATGACCATTGACCAAGAAGCAGATTCAGAAGAAACAGAGCAGAGATCGAGTCTCTGTTGGACTCGAACACTTGGAGAGATAACCAAACACAACTCTTGTCCCTATTAATAGAGATGGGAACAGATCAGGAAAAAGGGGGCATATACGGAGACGGATAGAGACGAGAGAAAACAGATCGGAGCAGGGGAGAGAAGAACCGGCCTAGGGTTCCGACCCTAGGTCCGGCGACGATAATTCCGGCGACGGCAACGTCCGGCGTGGCGATGACTCCGGCGACCATGGCGTCAGGCTCCGGTGAGGCACTCTGGCGGCAGCAAACGGACACAAAACTCAGGGAGCATTTTTGTTCTACTTTTTTAAAACTTTATGTCATTTTGCTAAAAAGGATTCCATATTTATTGATTTTCAATCTATGAGTATGAACATGCCTTATCTAAATACGTTTATTTATAGTTTCAATTCTTTGTTTGTTTAATGTTTAAGTTATATATTATAAGTGTTGAATTTTTTGAGTGTTGATGTTTAAATGTTCAGATTTGATTTTTTGATTGATTATTGTCTCTGAAATTATAAAATCTTCTTAGGCTAAATTGTTTGACAAAATAGATTGAATCTTTGATTTGATTGTTTTGGTTGAATTAGTTTGACTTTGAAGATATTTTAGCTCTATGCTATTGTTAAATCTAAACTCGAAAAAGTGTTTTGAGAACTATTATTCACTGATTTTACTTAAATAGGACCAAATTAGGAACGCGCGCCTAATCCAGTTTAAAATCATATTCTTTTAAAGTGCAAAGTG